TAGGTCTCCATGAATATTTAAATGAGATCTAATTGAGCTATGGTCAGAAATGTGTAGAGTGAGTCTGCGTGTCAAACATGTTGTAGTGTGTTAAATGAGAAATTGTATAAAAAACTAAATAAAAGCACCTTGTCTGTCGTTTTCAATAATCTGAATATATATATATATATATATATATATATATATATATATATATATATATATATATATATATATTACGATAAACGTGCAATCAATTTACAAATACATGAATTATTCACAAAAACTAATGCAAAGGTTAATGATTTAAATGGCGAGACATCCATCATCGCAAACAATTCAAATAATATACAAAAACCTCCGAATCCGTTATGAATGAAATGACCCTTGTTTATATAAATTTCTGCCGTATTAGTTCTTATTTTTACTACAAGCTTTCGTCTGTTCCTACAGACATCTTCAGGTATAGAATAGATGTTGTTCTTGTTTTTTCTCTTAGTAATAAGAGGACAACGAAAATATATGTATTGTTGTATCCGAAAATGCTATTGAAAATGAGTTATTGTTTTTGGAACGCGCAGAAGCAACGCTGAGTTTGATTTTGAATTTTTAAAGGTTGTGCGTTCATATAAAATATGGTGATGAACAAATTTTTTACTGGTAAATTTTTCTGTCAAAGTGGCATGAACTATATTGTTCAATAATTACAGTAATGTCGCACTTATTATCCAAAAGTTGCACTTGGATCAGTTATTTAAATTACGATAAACGTGCAATCAATTTACAAATACATGAATTATTCACACAAAAACTAATGCAAAGGTTAATGATTTAAATGGCGAGACATCCATCATCGCAAACAATTCAAATAATATACAAAAAAGATGTCTGTAAGAACAGACGAAAACTTGTAGTAAAAATAAGAACTAATACGGCAGAAATTTATATAAACAAGGGTCATTTCATTCATAACGGATTCGGAGGTTTTTGTATATTATTTGAATTGTTTGCGATGATGGATGTCTCGCCATTTAAATCATTAACCTTTGCATTAGTTTTGTGTGAATAATTCATGTATTTATATATATATATATATATATATATATATATATATATATATATATATATATATATATATATTGAGTGGGAGGCACTATAATTTGAGCTGAATAGATGTAACCGTAAATTCTATTCTAAAAGTTTTTTTTCTTGCACTTCTCGTCTGTAGTCTAATGCACTATTTCTTACTTTACAGTAAAGTTCTCTCTCTTAAGCCGCTCTTCAAAACGGTGAAATGATTCCTCGTTCCTCCTTACCGACTTGCAGGAATTGCATAAGGTTTTCCTACGTTTCTTGATCTTGTTTTTGTTTAGGCCTCCATTGGAATCACCATTAAATTATTTTCCTAGGTTAAGTTGGACTGGCTTTGTTCAAATTTCGACGTGTCAAATGACGATATTTTATGGGACTCCCAGTGAGGATCGTATTCACTACTCGCTAGTAATGGTCAAGTAAAGCAGCTTCGTTAACTATTAGCTGCTTCTAGACGCTTCTTTTGTAGATTTGCGTGGGATGTTGCCTACATAACAATATGACCATGCATTCATTTTTTTAATCATTTCACCCCAGGCAAGGCAATAAAGCCACTAAGATGTGTGAGTGTAAGAGAATATGAGAAGAAGAAAGTATTCAGGAGATAGAACAATAAATAAACAGGAATTACGAAGACAACGACTGACATTGCATTTAATTTTTTGAAAATCAATGTTGACTGGAGAGTAAGGAGCTTCGAGGGATTTCCACAAGTAAGAAGTGAGAAAGAAGAAGCTGTTAGCATAGAACTTGCGGCTACAGCTAGCCATTTAAACTGTGAAATAATGAAAAATTCATAAAGACTTGATACCAAAGAGGAAAGCTCATCAGATCAATTTCCATAAAATAACAACGTTTTGAAAAAGGGACCCTCTTTCCCTAGGAAGAGAGAGTGATAGATTGACTGATATGTAGCAACAGACTGACATAGATAGATAGATAGATAGATAGATAGATAGATGCGAAACAGAGTCGGAAAATATATGAAAGAATGAATATCATTGATGAATCGTGATTTTCAATAACACACACACACACACACACACACACACATATATATATATATATATATATATATATATATATATATATATATATATATATATATATATATATATAAGGACATTGTGGTCATCACCCAACGTTGACAGTCTTTTTTCATGCTTAAACGCAATCTTTTAACCGGATGAGTGCGTTTATTTTAATATGTTTATCTATCTATCTATCTATCTATCTATCTATCTATCTATCTATCTATTCTATCATTCTCATTGTATCTATCAATCCTCATTCTGTTCGTATCTATCTATCTATCCCAGTTTGTTCATTATCTCTCTCTCTCTCTCTATATATATATATATATATATATATATATATATACATATATATATATATACATACATACATGCATACATACATATATTTATATCTATTTCTATCTATCTATCTATCTATCTATCTATCTATATATATATATATATTTCCATATATATGACGTCTCAAAGTGACGGTGTTCAAATAAGCAGCTAATTACACATGCAAATCGCCAAGAAAGAAAAATTGTCAAGAGCAATTTTGATTTGAGACCCCAAATGTTCCAAGATGAGCTTCTCACAAAGCCACTAATGAGGCATATTCACAGAAAGTTCATCTTTGCTGTGAATTACTCCCTTCATCTTCTCTCTCTCTCTCTCTCCCTCCCTCCCTCCCACAAACTTTTTTCTTAATTTTTCTCTTTCCTCTTTTTAATCTTTCTTTCTCTCTCTCGACTTTATTCATCTCTTCTACTAGATCTTTTTACCCGGTTACTCTTTACTCTCTCTCTCTCTCTTTCTCTCTTTCTCTTTATTCCATCCTTCTTTTCCTGACTGTCTCTTTCTTTTTTACTATTCCTGTTTGCTTTCCTTCTCTCTTTCCCTCCTTCTTTCTTTCTAATCTTCTCTTTTTTAACGTTCTTCTCAATATTTCATTCTTTTGTCTATTCCTGTTTTCTTTTCCTTTTTCTTGTCATCCTCCCCCACCCCCCTGTTCAAACCTCCGCTCCTCCTCTTCTTTCTTACCTTTTCTCTTTCTTTCTCTCTTTCTCGGCTTTTCTTTCTCTCTGTTACCTTCTCCGTTCCCTTTTCTTTTTTCAAATTTTCTTTCTCTTCTTTTTCCTTCCTTTCTCTTTCTTTCTTCCTTCTTTCTATAGAATGACGACATTTTCTCCTTTTTATTTTTGCCTCTTCTTTCTTCTACTCTCTCTTTTGTTCTCTCCTTCTGCCATTCAATGAAACTTTCGAACAGATTATTGTTCAACTCGCGTCAAGATAATACACGCACCTGTTCTCACAGAAGATTTCAAGTCTCCACTAAGCCGAAAATCCCTCGTAAAAAACAATCAAAACTAATCCTTTTTTCCTTATTTTGTTTTTAAGGTTGATGCAAAACTTCCCAACAGTTTCTATAGAATCCTTTATTCATATAAATTCATGACATCATGGCTTTTTTTTTTATCAACTTAAACCACTTTGAAGCTAAATCGTGTATTCCATTATAAAAGAACGATTACGGTGTCGATTTGATGAATTCTACTTTTTTTTTAACACCATGTGATTATTTAAACAGTCGAGCAGATAATACTACTCAAATGGAATAAATCTGGTGAGATTGTAAAGATGACATATCTTTAGAATACGCCATGCTCATAGGTACTTTCTCTCCAAGAGACTGGATCGCATTTACGTTGGACAGATGTTATCATCCGACAAAGAGATCGGTTGACTTTCTTCTCCAGATAATGTCGTTCCTGCTTCAGTGCCTCATTCAAATAACCTGACATGTCGTTTTGGGCTGTGTATTCCTTCTCTGGTTCACCTGAAGGTTTCCAGATTTGACGTCTGCCACAACATTGTCCTTAAACTACGCCAACCCTGCTCTAAAATTTGCTTGCACCCACTGGAAAAATTACCATTATTCACATTAGAACTACCGTCTTCATCTTTGGGATCTCCAACATTATTCTGCCGCTCACGGGATTTCAACAGAACGATTTATTTAATCTAGGTCGGTAGAATATTCTCCTTTCGCTGGGCATACTCCTGCTTGTCTCTTTATTATTGCTATCCCTGAGTCTAAGTCTTTACTACCCACCACAGAGATTGAACTCAGAATTAGTCTGAAGATCAACTTAAAGAACCACTGCATTTTTTGCGGGTCAGTCCTGAATCTAGTTTGATACGTTTTTTACGGTGTATCAATCCTTTACAGGTTATTTAAAGCCAGAAAAGAATTTTAGATTGTCACACTTTTTGAGGGGGGGAGATAATGGTTTCCTTATACAAATGTTATGCTAATTTATGCTCGCACGCATGGAATCTCCCAGCTATAAATAGGAGCAGGTACTGCCTTTTGGAGAGAGAAGTTTCCAGCAGTCAGCTCTGAGAGTCGGACCGAACATTCTTGCTGTAACACTCTTGTTTGTATATATTTGTTTTACTGTTAATATATTTGTTTAACTCAATTTCTCTTTTGTGTCTTTATTTCTGGCCCCAACAAGTCTTACTGATTAACCCATAGGTGGGTGAGAAGAGACTTTAAGTCCCGTCTCTGAGATTGAACTCAGTATTACTCTGCAGATCAAATTCAAGAACCAATGCTTTTATTCAGGTCAGTCCTGAATTTAGATTGATTCGTTTTTTACGGCTTATCTACCCTTTACAGGTTATTTAAAGTCATAAAAGATATTTAGATTGTCAGTTTTTTATTTCTTTTTTGTTTTTTTAAGAGGTGGATATAATAATGGTTTCTTTTTACCTGTCTTACTGATTTATACCTTTGCAAGGGTGTTTACACATGTGAATATGCTGAATACAGTGAACGCAACTGGAATTGGTACTCTGCTTTCTGATTAATAATTCTGATACATTACATCACCCGCACATGCAATCTTACAGCACCTGCTATTCTTAAGCGGTCACCCATCTAAGTACTAACTAGGATCGAAGTTACTTAACTTCGATGATCGTACGGGAATCGGCGTTTCAAATTGATATGGCTTTATGCCTCTGAATCTAGCAATGGGAGTCTTAAAGCTTCTGGCACGCTTGCTGCTGACAAAACTGCTTGACCTCTTTCAGCCTTGCTGTCAAGCTTGGCCTTCTTCGCCGCCGTTTCTCATTCTGTTCGTATGTATGTATGTATGTATGTATGCATGCATGATTCTATCTATCTATCTATCTCCATTTTATCTAACTCCGTTCGTATCTATCTATCTATCTATCTATCTATCTATTTTATCTGTTTTATCTAGCTAGCTAGCTAGCTATCTCAATCTGTTTTTTATCTATCTATCTATCTATCTATCTATCTATCTATCTATCTATCTATCCTCATTCTGTTCATCACCCTCTCTCCCATATATATATATATATATATATATATATATATATATATATATATATATCTTTATCTCAGTCTATTCATTATCAATCTGTCTCTCTCTGTCTGTCTCTCTGTCTCTGTCTCTGTCTCTGTCTCTGTCTGTCTCTCTCTCTCTCTCTCTCTCTATATATATATATATATATATATATATATATTCTATGTTTATATCTGTGAATAGAGCATCCTAAATAATGATATTAACTATTGTTCTAGGATCGAACTCACTATTGACTATTTGTTTTTAAGGTTATGTTCTTAACCACAGCAAAGTGTTATATATGAAATTCAAGAACGATAAATGATTAATTCTGGAAACAATGGTGTGTTTGTGAATCCCGGAAGTCTAGGGAAATAAAGCCGTTACTTTGCATAAATATTTGATCTCGTTTCCGCCATGTTTTATAGTATTTCCACTCTAATAATCTTACACCTTGCTAGGCTTGTAATCACTTGTCATTGTATCGTCACACGGGTAGCATTAGGAACATGGACATCAAGTGTTATTTCGTTGTTGCCAGGCGTTTGTTGATTAGTTTAGTCCAAGGCCTTGTATATCAATATTTCAGCGCGGTACCGTTAATTTCTCAATCCAACAGTCTAAATATACTGTCAAGTTAGATCGCTATACAACGATATATATATATATATATATATATATATCAAGAATATATATGATATATCAAGAATGAAAAAGATGTAAGCACATAACGAATTTATTTTGTATTAATGACTCTCAGAAAATATTTTATGCTAACATTATTAGTAGAACACTATAATTACTGCTGACTAGATGTAACCGCAAATTCTATTCTAGCGGTTGCTTTTCTCGCACTTATCCTTGTGGAACTCCCTTCTGGCTTTATGTTTTCCAGCCAACTTTAATCTCCAAAAATTTAAATGCAGTGTCAATCGCTATCTACTATCGTTCTGATTATTTTTTCCTCTTCCCGATCATTATTAATGTTTCTGTTTCTAATTCTTCCACACCCTGTCACCCCTTGTGTCTTAGTGGCTTTACTGCGTGGCAAAGGAGGATACTGATTAATAAAAGAGGTATTTATGTAGAAAGACTCTGTCAGATTAATTTATTATATGTACATATATATATTTATTATATACATATTTATTATATGTATGTATTTATTATATGCGTATGTTTATTATATGTATATATTTATTATATGCATATATTTATTATATGTATGTATTTATTATATGCATATATCTATTATATGAATAGGTTTATTAGATGCATATACTTATTTTATGTATATATTTATTATATGCATATATTTATTATATGTATATATTTATTATGTGTATATATTGACAACGCTCAACTTTTTCAGTCTGTAATATTCCATATTTTTTTATTTTTACAATCTACATTTAAACAGTTATGTAGAAATTAATATTAATTTTTTGTTTGCTCTGTCGATGATAAATAAAGAAATAAATGTTAGACTTGAAAGATAATTTTCGTTCGAAACCAAGAAAATTGCAAAAGTAATAAGTTGAGTGAATCGAACAATTCTTTGAACTTTTTGAATTTGTGCGATTCAGCCATCATGTATTCCCGGTGCATATAGATCGATTAATGTCACAATTTAAGAAATGAAATATCCAGTATCCACTATCACACTCACTTTGAACAGTAACGTCACCTTGCCATGTTCACTTTAACTCAAAAGATGACAGACAAACACTTGGCATTTCTATGAAATCACTACTGTACCTTAGATCTAGGGAAAGCTAACCGGTTTGATATAGATCTGTGACTATTTCCCGATTTGTAGAAGTTAATAATTCTCTGTCTCAAGTCAACACTAAGCTCCTTTGTCTTCCCCATCTTGTTGTTAACGTAAGAATAACAATGGCGACATTCTATGCACTACGTGATGTTCTTTGCTGGAATTATGACAAATATTTTACTGAATAAATAGTTTAGAAGGCTTCATCGATAAAATAATTATGTAAAGTACTTATACTTACACGAATTAATCAATTTAAAACGATATTTTCTACTGTACGAATAATTTTGTCTTTCTTGTTTTGCATGATTTTCCTGTCAAATTTGTTGTATTTAACCTATTGCTCTGAAAATTGAGTTTTATATTCCTTTTTTGTGCTTATTAACATATAAAAAACATGGCACCATACGGGCATTAGATTCTGAGAAATGGATAAAAATATTCATAATTGATGGATGTACGAATAATTTTGGCGTTGACTACATGCGTATTAACATACGGGTTGTTGATGGGTTCTTCTCTTTTTACCCAAATGGACTCACCCAGGGTATACATATACTACTGCTAGTGAATACGGGGAGAAGAACGAGAAAAAGCGACGAACCAGGACGAACATAACGAGCAAGAGTCACAGTGAGCAAACACGTAGACTCAGTAAGAAGTCATACAGTGCTATGTCGATACCAAAGACAGTATATATATTTTGCTACTAACCCGCATTCCTGGAACTACTAACCTGCATTACCAGTTGGTATTATTACATTAATACATTTATTTTCCTATATTCATTCTTGGCGTTTGTCATTAATTGGTACCGGATTTCATCTCGGAATCCACAACACAGGTCTTAATCAAGTAAACAGGCCTTTTTTTTTTTTATCAAAATCGTATCTCAACCCTAACACGCTTTTATATAAGCAATCGCAGGAAGTGATGAAAATTTTTACATTAAGGCTTAAAATATCGATCATATAAAGATGTTCCATGTTTGATTATATACCAATTTGTAACCAACAAATTACCCTAAGAGAAATCACAACCTCAAGTCAACTGAAATCAACTTCCAGCCCGTTGATCGTAACGTGCCTTGCTCAAAAGAATCGTTTCTCTTCTTTCAGATATTCCTGCAAGGTTATAATCTATAACCGCAGAACAAAATTAGCGCGAGATTTAGCGGCAAACTTTGTCGCACCAAGCAAATCATTCGGGTATCTTACTCTGTAGTCTTCCGCTTCGAATATCAAATCGATAAAGAAAATAATATAAATAGAAAAAGACGTGAATCAGAACAAAACCTTGACCCGGTTGACAGCTGAGATGTTTATGTACAAGCCTAAGGCAAGAAAAAGAATTTTAAAACTTGATTTTCTAGGTAAGCAGAAGGAAAATGTAAGCAGGAACATAATATTATTGCTTGAGTTGACTATCGACTATCGATGCCCTTATCCTGATACATCAGTTGGCCAACAAACGAACTGGCTTCGTCACATTGGCTAACGGACTGCATTAAATTTAAATATGATCAGTTAGAGGCTCTGAATGTTTAGTGTTGTTGCAAAAAATATATACCCTTTAAGTCTACCGTTCCTTTCTCCCTTTTATCTTAGCTTGACTTGCAAGATTCTAATCTTAGAATAAAGTTGTCCGTAGTGGCTGAGGCAGTTCAGATGCATATTTCCCAGCATTCAAGCCCAGGTAAAGGCTAAGGTGTCAAATGATTTAAAATAAGTAACTTTTCACATGGGCGGGTAGTGTAGCGGTTCAGTTCTTAGGCGTGACGGGAGAGCCCACCACATACACATACGTTAAAGGCACGTTAGGGTATATGACGGTTCCGTATAAGATACAGGTTCGATTCCTGTCGGAGATCGAATATTTTCTATGAAAATTTCTCGAACATTCAGGCCGGTAAATGTTGTTTAATACTATTTATTATAAAACAGAGCATTTACTTAAATATTTGTATCAATAAAAAGAATGTATACACATAAAAATGTCTTAATATATATATATATATATATATATATATATATATATATATATATATATATATATATATATATATATATTTAGAGAGAGAGAGAGAGAAATAGACACATACATACATAGGTTTAGATGTAGAAATGATCTAAATAAAGATATACGATCAATCATATATATATACAGGTGAGCAAATAACTATTTATTTATTCACTGGTGTAAGTAAAGGAATGCTCAATGTAAATAGTGCTATAAAGTATATATAAATAATTACACATATACCTACGTTTACAGCGGGTATTTTTATTCAACAAGTACAAAAAGTTACGAAATGTTCAATTGAAATGGTCGATTCTTTTAATTTTTTTTAAATCAAAAGAAAACAACGCTATGGAACACTTCATAACATTTGTATATATATATATATATATATATATATATATATATATATATATATATATATATATATATATATATATACAGTGTATCACAAAAGTGAGTACACCCCTCACATTTCTTCAAATATTTAAGTATATCTCGTCATGGGACAGCACTGAAAAAATTACCTTTTGACACAATGAAAAGTAGTCTGTCTGCAGCATATATATAACAGAGTTAATTTCTTTTCCCCTCAAAATAACTCAAAATATAGCCATTAAAAGCTAAATCGACGGCAACAAAAGTGAGTACACCCCTAAGAAACTACACCCCTAAATGTCTAAATTGAGTACTGCTTTTCATTTTCCCTACAAAATGTCATGTGACTCATTAGTGTAACTATGCTCATGTGTTCAGGTGTATTCAAATTTGTAGTGCAGCTCTAACACTCTCTCTTACCGGTCACTGAAAGTTCCAACATGGCAAAGAACTCTCTGAGGATCTTA